TCTATTCTATTCTATTCTATTCTATTCTATTCTATTCTATTCTATTCCATTCCATTCCATTCCCTTTCCATTATTTGTCCAATCCTTCTGCAGACACTTGGGAGGGCCATATTAATACCTTACCTCAGCGAGCATCCTCCAGAAGTCCATCTCATCCATCTAAACCAGGGCCATTAAACTCGTGGCCTGAATGCATCACATGCTGGCCACACCCATGCCTGAGGAAAAAAGTTGTGATACATCACGTGACGCTGCTGTGAGGACATGAGTTTGACACCGCTGATCTAAACTATCCGGAGAGTGCCGGAGGAATGACATCTGTCTTACAATGGGATACTCTGTAAACAGAATCAGTATTTCCTTCCTTCCTTCCTTCCTCCCTCCCTCCCTCTTCTCCATTGCCAGTCAGCTCTAAGAACCAGACTTATGACCAGTGAATAAAACTCTCTTCACTTTCTCTAAATCTTTGGCTTGACTGTAGATTACCAATGTTTAATATAGAATATAAGCAGAACAAATCCTCCTCAAAAGAAAAATAATACTTCATTATTTGAAAAAAAAAATAAAACAAGGAAAACAATTCTTGCCCACAATTGATACATACTAGAAAAAAAGATATAGTGTATATATTTTGTTTATAATCAAGAAATAATTTATTGCAGCAGGAACAAAAAGTGGAAGGTTCTTTTTGAATATAAATGTCAAACCAGGAAATTTTATAATAATTGACTGATGGGCATGGTAACTTTTTGGGGGACAGTTAACAGCTGGTTGAAATATGGAAACAGAAAAGCGACAATTCAAGGGGTCTACTCTTCTGAAGATCTCCTGATCTTTTTCAATAATAGATATAATTTGGATTTTAAACAATTTGGCTACTAAGACTCTTAGAGATTCTTTCAAAGACTTTTTCAAACTATAATCCATTTGGTTTTTAAAAGAAAATTTAGTAGTTTTAGATGGTGTATTGCTCTGTATTGCTACAGAGAGAAGCAATAATGGAGAATTGTCAAAATAAATTGAATCTGGGTTCTTCATTGACTTTCTCAGGTCAAAATGACACCTGAACACGGCAACTGTCATAAATATAAGTCAGTTGCCAGGCATCTAAATTTTGATCTCCTGACTATGGGGATGCTGCACGGTCGTTAAGTGTGAAAAACATTCATAAATCATTATTTTCTGTGCTGTTGTAATTTCTAATTGTCACTAAATGTACTGCTATAAGTCAAAGACTACCTGAATGTGAAAATTCAGCCATTATCGATTGAGTATATTTGCCACCCACCTCGCCACACCTCTGTGAGGCTTCAACATTAAAAGCAATAAAACTGTGAAAAGTAGATATTTCTAAAAACAATAAAAACAAAAGACGGGAAGAGAGGGATGAGGATTCATGGAGTGGGAGAGGGTTGGTTGTGCTATGATTATGGTTGTACCATTATGGTTGGTATGCCATGGTTACAGTATAGTATATTTGAAGCAAGTCAGTGTCATTGATTGTTCATTATTAACAGTTTAATCTTAGTAACACTGACACTTTCACAGCCCATAGGTTTTGATAGGTGCAGCAGAGAATGGATCAAGATTGAGTGATTAAAGTTGTAGACTTTACTTGTGAGCAGAGTAGGGAGAAGTTGTTAAGAGCTCCTGAACTTTGAAATCTAGTGCACATAACCGAGCAGAGGAGTTCCTTCTACAAATATTTTATTCAGGTTCAGCGGTGCATTTCAGGTTTGTCCTATCTCACAGAAAGAAATGAAAAGCGATTAAACAGATTATGGGTTGTGACAATTTTGTGTCTGCGTGGCTATGTATTATTTTTTGTTTGTTTGTTTATAATATTAAATACAAAAAATACAAAAACAAATAGTAGGAAAAATAAGAAGAGGGAAACGGGAAGAGAAAGAGTACAGAAAAAAGGGGAAAAGAAAGAAAAGGCATTGATTTCCGACTCCCTTTGGTGCAGTGGAATAAGACAGTAACATCCAACCTTGACTTTTTACTTTTTACATAGTAGTATAAACTAGCCATTTCTATATCAATAAATCTATCTAATCAGTAAAATCCAAAATCAAAGTTTCATTTTTTCCTACCTCAAGCACAAAGTCCAGAAGCAGTTTCCAAGTAAAAACAAACATTTTTTTTTCTTTTATCAAAGCAGTCAATTTAGCTACCTCTGCTTACTCCATCAACTTTTGCCGTCATTCATTTTTCCATTGTGAGGACCAAAGTGTTGATTACGATACATAGAAAGCCTGGAAAATTGTTGAACCGTGACTTCACAAAGTACAGATTGTGGAAGAGATGCTATTGATGCCTTCTCTCAGTACCTGAAGACCAGGCTTCAGCTAAATGTTGGCAAGATTGAGTGGATTTGGGTTTTGGAGCCTCCTCTATCTGATGATTTATCATTTTTCAATAGGATTGCATTGCTTGAAACAGATCCAGTATCCAATCTAGGGATTCTTCTGGACTCTTGACTCCTGCTCAAAGAGCACATGGCAGCCATGGCCCAGAACAGATGGACACACATTAACAAGTAGTTGGAAATTTCTTCAACAAAAAGGAAACCATGTGCTAAGAAAACTTTCCTTAAAAAGATTGTAACGATTTAGTCAGTTAAATAAATTTGAAGAATTAATACAGTATAAGTATTTACAAAGGCAACATTTAGTGGTCCTCTCAAAGAAAGGATTAGTCATTGAAAATTTGCAAAATGGAAGTGGAGTCATTGACTGCAATAGGCAGGCATAGACACTGAATAAAGTAAATTATGCTCACCATAATTTATATCCCATTTTCGAACCAAAATAATCTAGAAGTAAAGACCACCTTGAATCAAATTTCACATTTCATAGCAATTTCACATTTCATAGCAGTCATCTTTTGGATTTTTTCCTCAACTTTTTCATAACTATGGATGTCCAGATGCTTTTTTCATCCCAATACTATTCAAACGCAATGTCTATGGAGATGGTCAGTCATCGCCGCGGTTGTCCCAAAGGTACTTTTTCAAGAGGCAACTGGACCTTTTAGGTTTTTTTTGAAGATAGCAAAGTCCACATTTTGGACAGACAGGACTCCTGGTTTAAAAGAAGGGTCAAAGAGGCCAAAATTGAACAGCCCTCTCTCAACAGATGGGGAGGGATTCATCATCTATCTCCAGTCAACACAATCCTTTCTACAGTTCCATGAAGGCTCCACATCCATTTGCATCTGATGACACAGAAACCTCCAGATGACCATAACCCACTAAAAGTATGCAGATGACTATCTGCAAGGAGTATAAATCCTTCCATTCCCCACCATGCAGTCAGAGCTGAAGAAGCTTTTTGGATGAGAAGCAAAACGTCTTCAAAGAAAAACCAGAAAGTCCAGTTACCTCTTGAAAAAGCATCTTTGGGACAAACATGATCTACTTACCTTTTTTAGATCGGTCATAGTTGACTGCTATGACTTTGCTTTGAAGATAGATTTATTATCTCATGAAGCATTAATTGAGGATGACAACTGTCATACAAAACTCCCAGGGGCAGAAAGTTAAACTTTTACTGTAGTAAAATATACAGTATATAAATTCTTAAACCCATGACTTTTACGGCAATTAAACCAACCGTGCAGCAATGTCAAGCTTCTGGAAACTATTCCAGTTCAAAGGCTATCTTTGCTCAATCAGTAAACTATAAACCGGTCACTCATATTTTTAGCTCATCTCTTATTCCACTCTCATGTAGTACCTTAGCAGCCCACTATTAAAACGAGGCTAAATTAATTATGGAGTATTGCATTATGACCATGAGGCAAAACTTCTGTTTTTAAATTTAGGTTTTATTTTATTGTATAAAATACAAAGAAGGGGTGGGGGGAGGGAAAGGGAGCCGGGAAAAGGGGGTGTGGAATACAAGGGGCAAGAGAAAAAGGGGCATTGTCTTCCAACTCTTCTTAGCACTGCACACGATAAATACACTCCAACCTCAAGTCTTTGCTTTTATACATTAATATGTAACAGCAAAACCTCCTTTTTAACACATACGCTTATGTACGTCTGCCGGTGCAATCCGAAGCTGCCTAAATAATACTTTGAGTTAAAAAATAAAATAAAAAGTCCAATATTTTTTTGGAGACCATTATCTATAAACGTTGGAAAACACAGTGCGAACATATCTGGATTGCAAAGAATGTGGGAGACCCCGACCCCAAGTCGGCAACTCAGAGATTGCAAAAAGAGCCAAACGCTTGACTGCAATATCGGGGTTCTCCGTAGTTTGCAATACGCGTAATAGTACAACCGCCCCCTCCCCCCCCCGGGCGGACGCCCTCGTATTTGGCTGAGAGGAGACCCTCATCAACTGCCGAACCAGGACGCGCGCGCTTTACATCCCGCGCGCACACATTATTATCCTCCTCCGGCTCTGGCGCGCGACGGCCCCGCCTTCCCCACCAGGAGCCCCACCCACTTCTCCATCTCTCTTTCCCTCCTCTCGCAAAGGCGGGTGGGAGGGTGAGGAGAGAGGGAGAGAGAGAGAGAGAGAGAGAGAGAGATGTGGCGGTGGGGGGGTGGGGTTTCGGGGAATGGAATTGAGCTCTCCGCGAGTCGAGACAGACGCGCCGAACGGCCAATGGGCGCGCGCTCTGCCTTCTCCGAGAGGAGGGGAGTATCCAGGGGCTGTGCCCAATGAGGCGGCGACCGGAGCGGGACTTCCTTCAGGGATCCCGCTAGAAGAAGAGAGAGAGAGGGAGAGAGAGAGAGAAAGCAGCCCGGCAGCAGAGGTGACACGTAAGTGCGGAGATTGAATGGTGTCCCCCCCACAAAAAGCGAAGGCGGAGAACCGGAGAAGAAAAGCTTCCTTTTGGGGCAGTTTAGCAACAACAACAACACACATACACACACACAAAGTAACTTTGACGGGAAAAGGCTCTATATTGAAGAGCCTCCTTGCCTTGGTCGAAGAGACTCTCTCGCCTTCCACCCATCCCTGCCGAAGCGAGTGGGGGGGAGGGGGTGCTGGGCAGAAGAGCCCCTCCAGACCGTCCCTTGCAGCAACGCTGGCTGATGGTTCACCTTGAAATCGGCAGAAGAATTGGTGAAGCAAGGACGAGCCTGCCTGGAGATGTCCCGTTTCTTCTGAACTTGCATCTTCTCCGAGCCGTGCTTGGGGACTCCTTCCTTTCGGATGCTCGGCTGAACCGACCCTGCCTTCGCCTGATCTCGGTCTCCTGGGAACCTGCAGCTCTTGCCAAGCTGGCTTGCCTATCTATGACCTTGAATTCCTGGCAGGGGTTGTAATAAGCTGGTTGTAGGTTTACACCAGGGCCTATGGCAGCAGCTGTGCCAGGACTTCCTAGTCCCTGAGGTCTCTTCCCTGGTTCATGTTGTGGCCTGAGGCAGCTGAAGTCCTAGGTGGACCTCGACTTGGATTCCCACCTCCAAGGTAGGGACTATGGGAAACGGGATGTGTTCCCGAAAACAGAAGCGGATCCTCCAGTCTCTCTTGCTCCTCACCGTGGTGTTTGGCTTCATCTATGGGGCGATGCTGTACTATGAGTTGCAGAACCAGCTGAGGAAGGCTGAGGCTGTGGCCCTCAAGTACCAGCAGCACCAAGAGTCCCTCTCAGCACAGTTGCAAGGTAAAGGTTGCTTTGGTTCCTCCTACCTTGGAGAGCTCCTTCAGAAGCTCCACCTGCTTCCCACCTGGTGACTTGGGCTGTGTTCCTCATTGCACCAGGCAGAGGCTTCACCATAGTTTGCTGACCGGCCTCTCAATTGATTAACCCAAAGCCAAATGACTTAGTGTGAGAACTTACTCCTTTGAGGTTTTGGGTCCCAGCAGGTGTGTTAGTCTTGTGAGGTTGCGGACACCAGTGTTGAAATTAACAACCATAGAAAACAACAACCAACCTGTGCACAAGCACCTTTTTGTTGGCTTGGTTACAAATTAGTGTTTTCTGTTAAGTTCTAATTGGTTATTCTTTTACATTAGTGGAGTTGAGGGCATAGTGAAATTGCATGTAGCAGACTGTATATAGCCTTTGATAGACATAATTCAGAGGTCAGATCAATCTTTTGAAGTGTTCAGCTTAGTTCCACTTGAAAATGACAATGGAATCTGTAACATCTAGAAATTTGGATTCTCTTTTAGAATCATCTTGATAACTGTCATATCTTACAATAGACAAGACGTTAAATTATCTCTGTATTGTGTAAGAATTGCCATTGATTAGCACTAATTAGCTAATGTAGTTTCTTTAATAGGTAAAAGATGCTTTCAAGTTGAGCTTGACTTCTTGAGGATACAGAATACTGTATTCATGCAATTTTCTGGACACATAATAGGAATAATTTGCAACTGCTTTCTTATTTTTACTTTATAGTCTAGCCAACAGCTCTAAAATTGCTAAGTTATCTCCTGCTCAAGTCCCTTGCAGCGCCAAGCAGTGTTGAAAAATCATACTTTTTCTGATCAGCCAAGATAGACTAGGTACTTCCATCTGCTGAAGAATTGTTATAATTATATGATGCCAAAATACTTAATTGATAGCGGACAACATCTTTGTTGCTGAATATTCTATTCTTATGAAATATACATCTCTACATTGCCGTCTTTGGAGCTCTCTGAGCTTGGTTGTTTACTTGCAAGCATTTCATTATCCAAGTAGATACCATTACCAGTGTACAGGTAGTTCTCGAGTTATGACCACAACTGAGTTCAACATTTATGTTGCTAAGTGAAACATTTCTTAAGTGAGTTTGCCCATTTTACGACTTTTCTTGCCACAGTTGTTGAGTGAATTACTGCATTTGTTAAGTTAGTAACACAGTTGTTAAGTGAATCTGGATTCCCCATTGACTTCTTGTTGGAAAGTCCCAAAAACTGATCACATGCAGGGACCCTGCAGCCATCATAAATATGAACCAGTTGCCAAGCATCTGAATTTTGATCATGTGACCATAGGGATGCTGCAATGGCCGTAAGTGAGAAAAATAGTCATAAATCACCTTTTTCAGAGCCAGTTCATTGTAACGTTGAACTGTCACTAAATGAACTGTTTTAAGTTGAAGACTACCTCCGCCCTCTCTCTTCTCTCTCCCTCTCCTCCCTCTCCCTCTCCTGGTCTCTCTGTACTTTCTGGATAATGCAGAGTTCTCAGGAACACAAAAACTAGTGATCTTGGAACTAGCCTGCCATAAAAAATGTATAAGTTAAATTTTGCGGGAAAATGTTTAAGAAGATCCTCAGAAGAAATTGAATATATATAATTTTTTATTTATTTATAAATCAACAATCAAATAAGGTGGGAAACAGATCAGTTTGCTTCTCATGTCATCCATCCTGCTAAATTTAACTTTATTTTTAAATTTATTTGATCCTTGCTATTGTGGTTTGTGAATACTGAGTTGTGGTTTGGTAGAAATCCACCCAGTTGTAATTCATTCAATAAAAAGGTTATTCATCTCATGAGAAGCATTTCTCCTATAGCCTTTTCTAGATGATTGAACCAGACCAGCAATCCAAGTTCAACAATTCCGGATATTGCCCAGTGCTGCACTATATACTCTAAGGCAGGGGTGTCCAACCTTGGCAACTTTAAGACTTGTGGACTTTAACTCCCAGAATTCCTCAGCCAGGCTTCTGGGAGTTGAAGTCCACAAGTCTTAAGGTTGCCAAGGTTGCACATCCCTGCTCTAAGGCTTTAAAAGTTGCAATCCATTGATTTGGCCTGGAAATGTACAAGAAACTAATGAAGCAACTTCAATATAGGCCTTATTTTACCCTGCAGGGATTAATCTAGCAATAATCTGTCATATCAGCTGCATCTTCCAGGTAATCTCTAAAGGTAGGCCCAAGTAGAGTCTACTTCAGTAGACCAATTGAGTGATCAAATTGTGAGTTACTGACATTTCTATAATATTTTGCACTAGGGATTAATAACATATTCCTCTTCAGATGTTTTCAATCTCCAATTTCCCTCTATCATGGCTCGCATGTTTAAAAGCAAGGGAGTTGCTCCAAATATATGGAGACTCAGATCCATTATACATAACTGCTTAAAAATAAGGCTTGTTAAATTGAATCAGATATTTAAATGAACATGCGCTTATTTTTAGATGTATAATACATTATTGCATCATTACTTTAGAATTTATGAGATTATGAATTCAAATTAAAGAAATAAATACATGTTTTATAATTGTGAATCATCAGATATTTAGCCATTTAAAAAGAGGCATGTTGAAATAAGATTTCATCCAGATTTCCTGAAGTATTTAAGCCAAGTCAATCTCCTAGAAAGAAAATACGGTTCTAGTGATCAATTTTTCTTGTTGGCTAATGACATAATGCTATAATGAAAGATTGTTAATCTCTAATGCATTCGTGAAAATTAATGTTCCATAAAGCAATGTTGAGAAGTAGAATCTAAAAGCATATTTACATTGGAATTTTGGAATTGGGATGTTGAAATTTCCATTTAATACTGACATAATGGATATAAACATTGATATCCCATCTTGTGAAAATCAATTGTGTTAGAGATGAATATTGGAAATGCATTTTTGGAGGTCATAACATACAGTAATTCATATTGTTAAAGCTTTCATTATTAGAGCCATATTAGTAATTATTGTAATTTTCAGCCCTTATATATATTGTATAGAGCTGTTTTTCCAAAAACATTGATACAGAATATCAATTTTGTTACCAGTAGATCTGAAAATTGTTACATCTGTTTCTATTGCAATCCAGTTAAAAAGTTAATCCATGAGTTTTCAATTTTTTTTAATGTAACTATCCATAGACATACATTCTTCATAAAAATGATGTTTCTGACTATGTTCTGACAGCCTGATTGTGTAGATTGGCAGTAGGGCACCTGCAACATTCCTATGTTACATCTGCAAGACCTTAGAATTAAATAAACATAACTTTAAAATTACTAGAATTCCATGAGATAATCACATTTTGGCTTTCTTCACAAGCTCTTACTTAAGACAAGTATAGTAAAAGGATTTTGTATTCTATTGCAGTCAATCTCCAAGCCAGATATCAACATCTTAAAGATTTTGGGTGAATTCTTTTGGGAAGTTGATGTTATCATAAAAAGGACACAAGTAAAGGACACAGAGTAGGAGCACGCTCACAGGGTAAGGTCCAGATTTCCAAGTCTAGTCCATCCGGCTAAGCAAGTCCATAAAGCAGAATCCAGGCACACAACACTTGGCAGTCCTCGGGGCAAAAACAGGGCAAAGACAAGGCAAGAGGCAGTTGTAAAGGCAAAGCAAAGGTCCAAAAGCAGTCCACAAGACAAGGGCAAGGTCCAAGACAAAAAAATAGAAAGCAGTCCTCAAGGCTAGGCAAAGCAAAAGGCGAAAAGGAGTCTTCAAAGCAAGGCATGGCAAAAGACATGAGTCAAAGCCGGGCTAGTGTAAGCCAAAACAAACAATTGTTTCTGACAATTGTAAGACTGTTGTCAAAGACTAACTCCCCATGGCTTCTCCTTAAGTCACTCCACTCCAGGTATTCCCAGGTATTCCCTATGAGGAGAAGTGGATCATGTAGACTTGCAGCCCTTCTCTGAGCTTTCCTACACTCTGCTCACCGTACCCTTGGATCAAGTGGATGAGGCAGCTGTTCCTCATCAGAGGACATCTGTTGCCTCTCAGCACCACTGCTTGTCATCAACTGATCCTCCCCTGTGCGTGTGCAGGCAGGCAGCTCTTCTTCCTGTTGACCACCTCCCTAATGCCTGAGGGGACTGGGACAGCATTGTCCTCAGCTACTGACCTCTCCAAACATGCCAAGGGAGGCATACCATGCCTGTTGGACGGTCCCGTGTCCAGCTTCTCCTCCAAACCAGGCTCTGATGGGGCCACGAGAAAAGATGCAGAAATTGTATCTGGGAGCATAGAAGATATATGCAAATTCTTTGAGTGGTTGCTCTTTGTTCAAGCATATGTCTTAAGAATGTGTGCAAGATATTATTAATAAATAATTATTATATATATTATATAGGTTTTACTATATACTAGAGTAGAATATATACTGTATTCAACACCCCAGGTTGAAACATGCCAGTATTACTGAAAACGGGCAGACCTGTATAAGCCAACTACTGTGCCCCAAGTGTTAAAACAGATATTTTGGCTAGAAACCGACAAAGTGGCAGATGGACCACTCTGGCAGCTTGGCATGTTTGTTGAACGTATTTGGAGAGCAGTTGCTGAGTATGAACATCCTGTCCCCGTACAAGGTTAAAATTCAACGTGTCAGCTTGCTTCTACCAATTTGTTCTTGACAATCTGGAAAACTACCAGTCCTTTCTTCTGATTTTTTTTCTAGTTACAGGAAATTTTGGCAAGTTGCTATTTTTGGAGCCAACGGTGGTATTTTCATAGCAAAATAAGTGCACGGGGCCATTGCACCATAGTGATCAGTCAAGAGAGAAACAGATCATGGATCACAGAGCAGTTTATTTGAATAGGCATTCATGAGATAATCTGTTAATATTTAATCTTAATACATTAGGTAAAGTCTCTGTTGAACCTTCTATTCAGACAAATAGGAGGCTAAAATTCTGGGAAGAGAGGTGTGTGTGTGGGGGGTCACCTTTCCAACTATGCTTCAATGTGA